AGAATTAGATCCTTGACTTGATGTTATTTTCTTTAACTCAGATGCAAGAAGATCACATGAGTGTTAATATATGCAGCTCAAATATAAAGTCTATTGCATTTACTACTGAAGCTACTTCAGGAATCAGGTGCATCAGAGATGCTTACCATGTCAACACAGAGAAGTTGGGGAATAGAATTAAACAATATTGTTATATTAATAGTGTTGCCCCTACATCATGAATGATACCACTCATGGAAAACATTTTCATGGAAAACACTTTGTAAGTAGTAAGCTTTTTGACCAATTTCATGGAAAATTAGCTTCAGTTGATAAAGTATGACTCTTTTGGAATGAAAAAGCTTCTGAAAGAGGACTCTTAAGGGGATGGAGGGAACACATCTTTGTTTCAGTTATAATCATATATGACTTTATTTAATTCTCTTTTGTGCACAAGGATGATGAGGCCAAAGTGAAGATTAAAGAAACAGTGAGAAAATAAAATAATAAAAAATAAAACATAGAATGAGACAGGGATAACATCTAGTTAAACAAGTAAATGAAGTTGTTGCATACCATAAGAGTCTTGATCCTTTTCATATCAAGCTGGCTCTCAGTTAATACTTCATCAACACCAAGCTGTATGAATTTTTTTCGTGCTTCATCTGATCTTGTCCTGTTAAAATTATCATTAGCTTTGTTGGGATAAAGCATTTTTAAAGGGAGGTGAGGAAAGTGAACAAATTTTGTTGTCGCAGCATTCTTAGGGCAGTCATTGGATTAACAATAATAATACCAGAGACTTTGTTCTTTTAAAACATATGTGTGACATGTGAGTACTAAAAGAAAAAAACAGAGATGTTTTCCTTACATTTGTATAAAACTGAAAGTCTGCACCCGTCACGCCCAGGCTCTCATACCCCGTTTCAATCTCATTCTTGATTCTTCTACTTGATTTGGGAATTGGGATCGTCTCTTATACGTCAAAGAAACACGTAGTACGGAGTATTTACTATTGGAATTGTTTTAGTAACGGGTCATGTAAACGGACATTGATAACAAGTTTTTAAAATTATAAAAAGACTCCGCTTCTAACAATATTTTTCAAAAATTGTAATAAAGACCCCGTTTTCAACTTTTCACTTCAGTTGAATGTATAACCCTTATTAAAAGGGTTCCATATTTATAGTTTAGACCCATTATAATGGATAAAACTTTTTATTATTAAAATTTTGACCCTGTGTTATACATTCTATAACGGGCAATTTAAACCCCATATGAAATCCTTGTTATAGAATGGGTTTTTTACACTAGTGGATATTTGATCTCATTCATTGTGATGTTTGGGGTCCATTTTCCATTCCCACACATGATGGATTTCAGTACATTCTTACTACTGTTGACAACTTTTCTAGAGTTGTTTGGTGCTGCCTAATGAAACGCAAATCTGAAACCAAACAACATCTCATTTTTTCCCATAAAATGGTCTTAACACAGTCCTCCATTCATATCAAAACAATAAGAACAGATAATGGAACTGAATTTCATCTTCCAGACTTTTATTCCAATGAAGGAATCATCCATCAAACTACCTGTCCATATACTCCACAACAAAATGGAGTCACTGAAAGAAAACATCAAATCCTTTTGAACATTGCTAGAGCCCTAAGGTTTTAGGCAAATCTCACTCTACCCTTCTGGGGAGATTGTATTCTTACAGTTGTTTGTATAGTCAACAGACTACCCACTTTAGTTTTAAAAAATAGATCACCCTTTGGAGTTTTTCATAATCAAATCCCTGCTTATTCCACACTCAGATCTTTTGGATGTCTATGTTTTGCCTCTAATCTCATTGGTTACAAAACCAAGTTTCAGCCAAGATCCAGATGCATCTTCAATGGATATCCTCCTCACACCAAAGGGTATAAGTTATATGATCTGGATACTGGTCAAATCTTTATTTCTAGGGATGTTATCTTCCATGAATCCATATTCCCTTTTAAGTACTCCCCTACCACATATAATGATACTGTCATTCCAAATTCTGTTCAAGATATCTACACTCCTGAGGTCACTCCCATCACAGATACATCTTATTCCAATGATGAAACACATGTCATTATTCCTTCTCCCGCTATTCACAATCAACCACATTCATCTAGACCTATGAGATCCAGAAAACTTCCTAATCATCTTAGGGATTATGTATGTGCAGTTACTCAAACTCAGTCCTCAGTCACTGAATCTCTATCTTTCAAGACTAAAGCAGGTGAGATACTTCACCCCATGCATGAATATACCACTTCTGAAAGATTTTCTAATTCACATCAAGCTTTTTCTAGAGCCATATTTCATATTATTGAACCTACATCCTACAGCCAAGTTGTTTCCAACCCACACTGGAGAAAAGCCATGCATGATGAAATTACTGCTCTTAAGTCTAATGGTACTTGGCTTATCACTGACTTACCTCACAGAAAGACTCATATTAAATGCAAGTGGGTATATAAGGTGAAATACCATGCAAATGGCAGTATAGAGAGATACAAGGCAAGACTTGTTGCCAAAGGATTCACTAAAGTTGAGGGTTTATATTTTCTTGATACTTTTTCTCTTGTGGCTAAGTTTACCACATTAGGGGTTTTACTTGCATTGGTTGCTTCCAAAGGTTGGTCTTTAGAGCAATTAGATGTTCATAATGCATTTCTTCATGGTGATGTACATGAAGAAGTGTACATGAATATTCCTCTAGGATTTGAACAAAAGGGAACCAACAAAGTCTGTCATTTATTAAAGAGCTTGTATGGACTCAAACAAGCTAGCAGGCAATGGTTTTCTAAGCTTTCTACAACCTTAAAGGGTAATGGCTTTGTTCAATATCATGTGGATTCCTCTTTGTTTACATCACATAAGGAGAATTTCACCTTAATTCTCTTAGTGTATGTTGATTACATTCTTATTGCTTCATCTAACATATGAGGCATATTAATCATCTCAAACAGTTTTTAGATGATCAATTCAAAATAAAAATTTTGGGTCCTGTAAAATTCTTCTTGGGCTTAGAAGTAGCACGTTCTTCCAAAGGTTTGTATCGATGCCAACACAAGTATACAATGGACCTTCTTCAACATTATGGATATCAAGACTACAAGCCTGTCACATTTCCAATGTACACCAAGCTTCAAGTGAGCAGTCATGATGATCATTATCTCAATGATCCTTCCACTTATAGATCATTGGTTGGAAAATTACTTTACCTAACCATTACAAGACCTAATATAAATTTTGCTGTGAATTCATTAGCACAATTTATGAAAAAGCCTGGACATTCTCATTTGCCAGCTGCTCACATAATCTTCAAATATCTAAAAGGGTTTACATGACAATGTCTTCTATACCCTTTAGATTCTGATTTACAGCTCAAAGGCTTCTCAGATGCAGATTTGGCAAGTTGTGCTGATACTAGAAGATCAGTTACAGGCTACTGTATGTTTTTAGGCAAGTCCCTCATTTCTTGGAAATCCAAGAAACAACATACAATACCCAGAAGCTCACCTGAAGCTGAATATAGAACATTGGCTGCTTCAGCTGCTGAAATACTTGGGTTGCTTCAGCTCTTTAAAGATTTTGTTTCAGGTTTATTTCCTCTCCTCTTCTTTTATAAAAAGTAATTCATTGGAGTGTTCTTTTTTTAGTCATTGGATTTTTCTTTTAGTACGCACACCCTCTCAGGTTTATGTTTGTTTTTTTCTCTGTGTTTTATCGTACATTGGAATTCATATTTTCTGTGTTGGTTTGGATTTCAATTAATGCTAGAGAGCGGTCAACTCTTCATGTGTGGCGATGACGTGTTTGGACAACTTGGTCTTGAGGATTACACATTCTACTCTTCTCCTTTAGAATTACCATTTTTAGCTCTAGGCATGTCAAACAAATCGCTTGTGGTATGCAACATTCTCTTGCTTTGGGTAAAGGTAAAATTGTGTCAGCTAAATAATTTACAATTGTGTTTTTATTATCTTTCACATTATTTTTTCATTTCATTTTCACACTACCCTTTCTCTTTTGATATTTTAAATGATATAAGTGCTTTCGGAGTTCCAAATCATAAGTTGCATTTCAAATTGAGGACACCGGTTATGTCAATGAGAAGCATTGATCATTCAATGGAGTTATTTATGCAATGGAACCAGAGTGGTGATGATAAGGATTTTCACATATTTTAAAGTCACATGCATCACACGAGTACTAAACTAGTATTCCCTCCGTATCACAATAAGAGTCCCACTAGGTTTTTCACGTAGTTTAAGATAGTTTATATGTTTATTGTACACTTTTTGAAAAAGTACGAAATTTTTGGTAATGTAGCAGTACTATTTACTTTATTAAAGCGTATTGTAGCTACTTTTGGGGTGGAATTATTTCCTAAAATGGAAGTGAGACACTTATTTTGATACGTGCAAAAAAGGAAAATGAGACACTTATTGTGATACGGAGGAAGTATATTTTAAATCATAAGAAGAGCAAAGTTTGTCCAAACACTTCAATACTCCTCAAATTGGGGTGTTAAAAAGTGAAAAATTAAATGTGTTGGAAAGATTACGGTTAACACCACCAAATCTTTACTTACACCTTTTCTTTTCTTGTATTTTCTCTTTTAAAAGAGTGTTAAAATCAACATTACTTACCACTTTCATTAGTAACGCTCCTGGTTTCTTTTTCCTTTGCAAAATTTCATCCTAACTTTTAATTATCTTCTTTCTGTCTAATTTGAAGTCCTCAAAGTCTACCTACTACTAGAGATGGCAATTGTGACCGAACCGATGGATACCCGCACCGAACCACCCCGGTCAAAATGGGGAAACCACATTGACAGGGTAACAGGTGTGGGGCGGGGAATACCCGTTTTGTTTTTACGGGTAATGGGGCAGTTACGGTTTTATACATGCCCGCCCCATACCCACCCCGTTTATTTGTAGTTATATTTTTATTAAATTTTTATCTATTATTTGTCTCACAACTATTAAAAGATGAGATTTATTAGAATATCAATTGTATATTACAACTAGGGGAGAGAGGGGATATATATAGGGATATACATGGGCCTAGTCATGGGCTTGGACTAAGAGGGAGTAGTGTATATTTATACATTACATAACACTCCCCCTTAAATATACACTACTAAAGAATCTAAGGAGTACATAAAAAATACGCTTAAGGATGCTGCCTCATTAAAAACCATGCAAAGGAAAACCCTGTGGGACAAAACCCTGGTAAGGAAAAAAGAGTGCAGCACATATTTACTCCCCCCAATGAATATCACTCAAGATCCTTGCGTCGACGTAATCCAATCAGGTGCACTAACTTCTTGAAGGTTGTTGTTGGAAGAGCCTTGGTGAATAAATCCGCAACGTTGTCACTTGAACGAATTTGTTGAACGATAATCTCACCTTCTTTCTGAATGTCATGTGTATACCAATTTTTTGGTGAAATATGTTTAATCCTATCTCCCTGGATGAATCCTTCCTTAAGTTGGTGGATACAAGCTGCATTGTCTTCAAACAAGATGGTCGGAGGCTTCTTTTCAGACTATAATCCACATGACTATCTAGTATGCCGAATTACAGTTCTTAAGTATACGCATTCTCGACTGGCTTCATGAATGGCTAATAGCTCTGCATGATTAGACGATGTTTCCGCAATTGTTTGCTTCATGGAACGCCATGAAACTGATGTTCCTCCACATGTAAACAGATATCCAGTTTGTGATCTTCCTTTACGAGGATCAGACAAATAACCTGCATATGCAAAACCAATCAATTCTGTTTTGGACATGTTAGAAAATAATAGACTCATGTCTTTCGTACCTTGAAGGTAATGAAGTATTTGTTTGACCCCATTCCAATGTCTGCGCATTGGAGAAGAACTATATGTTGCCAATAAATTTACAGCAAAGGATATATCGAGTCTTGTGTGACTTGCAAGATACATTAGTGCTTCAATTGCACTTAGGTATGGTACTTCTGGACAAAGAATATCCTCATCATCTCCACGCGGTCTAAATGTGTCCTTATCAACTTCAAGTTGTCTTACAACCATCGAGGTGCTCAAAGGATGTGCCTTATCCATTAAAAATCTCTTTAGCACCTTCTCTATATAGGTTGTTTGATGCACAAGGATACCATTATTTAAATGATCAATTTGTAATCCCAGGAAGTATTTGGTCTTTCCAAGATCCTTCATTTCAAATTCCCTTTTCAAACATTTAACTACCTTTTGTTGTTGTTCAGGAGTTCCAATAATGTTTTGATCATCAACATAAACTGCAATAATTACAAACTTCTGACCAGATCTCTTAATAAAAATACATGGGCATATATTATCATTTTTGTACCCTTCTTTTAATAAGTACTCACTTAGACGATTATATAACATACGCTCTGATTGTTTTAAACCATATAGAGATCTGTTTAGTTTAATAGAATATTGTTCTCGAGAACCTCTATTGCATGCTTCAGGCAGCTTAAAACCTTCCGGAAGTGGTGGATGCTACTACTTTTAGATACTTAATTAGTCTGGCAATACATGAAGGACTAGATTTACGCCTCATGGATGTAGTGACTAGAAGGTAAAAGTTGAATAGTATACATCATCTACAATAAATGGCGATTGGACATTTCAGCTTTAGCAACACTTTAGTGGTAAAAATGGTCTGGATCAATGAACCACCGACAGTCTGTCTTAAGGCATGTGTACACAATATTTCCATATCTCTTGCCAGCCTGTCATTGGGAGATGTGAACCTTCTTCAGGAAGGATTGTTAATATTTCCCTATAAATACTAGAAACCTCATTGCAAAACTACACCACTCAAACCTTCCACCTCTCTTTCATTTGAAGTTTTGAGCTTGCAAGCAAGAATATCACCAATATATGTGTGTGTGTTCGTGTGAGTACTATTACTATATATTCCATAGAAAATATAATCTAGAGGTATAACCAAAGTCCAAACTATTTAGAGTTTCGGGGTTGTAGGCACCAACCAAGCAATTGGTATCTCCACAGTCAATCCCTAATCGAAATTTGTAGTTCATGCAAAACCAAACAGAATGCTTTTGTCCTACATTCATTTTTTATACGGAGTATGTACTAATTCAATGAAGGGATTTTTCAGTTGCTTAGACAACCAAAATTTTGATGAAGATCATCAACATTATATGAAAACAGAGTATTATGTGCTTGGGGTTTATACAGTTTAGCCAGTTGATCAGTTCATACAGTTGTTTGAAATTTTGATCAGTTCATACAGTTCAAATTTTAAAAATACTAAACATATATGTGGAGGATATGGATTGAAGTAAATGTGAGTTTTTATCACATTGCATTTAGATTTTAAAATTTGGGAAACCAATATCAAACCATTAGCACAACACTACAGGTGATTGATATTAGTGATGTGAGGAAATCGTGATTGTTCTGTGTAAGTGTAGGTAAGAAATCAATATAGTTTAACCAGTTTTAGCAAATTGTTGTTTTACTCAAGCGAATAAAACTCTGCATTATAGAGTTAAAAAATAATAGAAGTTACCCGACATGCAATATCCCATTCATTTTTAGCATTAATGGTGATGAAACCCATAGAGTCCAAATTTAAACACCTGCAGAAAGGATCAAACATGAGATTTTTGTAAAATTGAACTTATATACTTCTGTGTTACTACTTAAATGTATATTTTTTGTATAAAATTAGATAGCATTGCTCTTACTTCAAATATTGTGTGCTTAAGTATTTGTTAACATGAAGCGGTTACATGTTAGAGAAAGATGGCACAAACATATCAGTTCAGAAAATGTGCTTACAACGAACCAAGATTTGAATAATAGAAAATCAATCTTATATTGTGGTAAAAAAGATTTGAATCACAGGCGGTTGATGCTATTATTTGATGTTATTATGTGTATGAGCCGGAGTTTGAATGCTATTAATTGCTACCTTGAATGATTTCATTATTTGATGCGATTATGTGTAAAACAGATACAGATCAAACACAATAAAAATGAATACAGATACCTTGAATGATTTCATTATTTGATGCTATTATTTGATGCTATTATGTGTATGAGCCAGAGTTTGAATGCTATTAATTGCTACCTTGAATGATTTCATTATTTGATGCTGTTAAATGACGAGTTATAACTTTGTCCATTTAACAGATAGCCTTACTCTTCGTTTATAAGATACAGATCAAACACAATAAAAGTGTGAGTATTTTTTAATGTATAAAGACATGACGATTACAATTTCATCGTCTCTTGAAAGCATACATTCAATATTCATTTCTCTTGAATCAAAACCAAATGCTGGTTTTTTTCAATGTCTAAGTAATTTATCTTTATCCTTTTGAGAAAGACTGTCATGGGAAGATATGTCATTCAAATTACCACAAATGCATTTAAATTACACTTTATATATAACAAAACTGAAGTAAGAAGCTTACATCAATTCCAGCCCATTCAAGGTTATTAACGAGTAACGACAACAACTTTAATCAAGAGTTTCAATAAAAAAAATCATATTTGTAATTCAAATCTTTGCAAAATTCTATATGTTGTTAAAAGATAACTATATGTTGTTATCTGTAGGGTTAGACATCATGGGTCTTAAAATTCTTATTCAACTAATGATGAGACCATAAGTTTTGTGTATAAAGAAGTTTTACATTAATTGTATTCTGTGCAACTAACTTTAGTATTGTCTTCATAACAACTTAATAATAAAGCACTAACTATTGACATTTTTCAAACTCCTAATATACTGTACTGTTATAGCAATTACACACATCAATCTTTGTTTAATCTCACACTGTGAATCGCACGGGTGTTGTACTAGAAAGTAATGTGGCGAGTTTTGAAACATTATTTTTTCACTTTTGAAAACATGCATATTTTTGTTTAAATAAATTTTGATTATCTGATAATAGTCTCTCATGGAGAGTATTTGACATATAATAAACAAACATTTCAAAACATAATTTAATTAAGTGTGCTGATTTCTCAAACAAAAAAAATTACAGCAAGACTTATATGGTGTTTCACTTATAGTTGATTTATGTGTGTATAGTGGGTTGGACATATGTTGGTTGTTTAAGCATTGGTTCAGTCCATGTGAAGTAAGAAAAATTAAGTAGTTAGTTAATATTGCTTCTTAATTTTAGAGAAACCAGTTTTACAAATTAAAGAAAAAAAGTTAGTGGGCATGTATGTAAATAAAGAAAAGAATGTTAATACGTAAGAGTCTATTTTAATAGAGGGTTGAGAACAGACACAATAAAGGTCAAGCACAGAACTAACACGGAGTATCATTCAGCCACCATAACTAAACTATTACTCTGTAAATGTTCAGAAATTATTCATATTCATTTTTTTCAATTGTATATCCTTTATATTACATAGAGAGTGAAAATAAGTTAAGCTCATGTGGCCGAGGTGTCTTTGTAAGAGTTTCTTAGTAGATTTTTATATACTCAAGACATTGTGCTTGGCAAGTTTAACAAAATTGGTATTTACAGTTAGAAACACACACACACACACACACACATATATATAAATCTTAGTTCTACATATTATAATGTACATGTGTAAAAATACTAAATAGATTTACTTATAATTTTCTAAAAATAGTTTTTTCACGCTCGATATAATCAAAGAAAAGTAAAACGAAATCAATAACTGCTCTACGGGTTTTAGAATAGATATGTATACAAAATAACTTGATCAAAGAAATTCATCAATTATGACGCAAATCTACACTGTGACGGACTCATGCCACAAATACATATAAAAACACCGAAAAAGATCATCAAATGGCAAAGTCACTCACCACAAACCCTCTGTCTCAACACAGACGCAACACACAACAAGAGGAGAAGCGCCAGAGGTGCAATACTTCGCGACTCTACTGCGTTCTTCCAGCTCGCCATCTCCTTCCCAACCCGAAGCTGTCATCAGTTCCGAACAATGTGTGGAACTCTCATCAGTGCAATATTCTTCCCCACCAACTCCAGATCGGCAACTCATGCAGAAATCCAAGAAAATATCATATCAGTTCATTTTTTCATCAATAAAGGTTACAGAGCTTTTGAAACGCAAACAGATTCCGAATCAACTTACAAAGCAGTACAACACAACATCAAAACACCTTCTTTTGAAGATGATAACAGCAAATTGAGGTATCTCTGCCACTCGAACGACATCAAGCTTCACCACACTCTTAGAGAAGGAAATCAGATGACGCATTACCTGAAAAAAGACGGATATAAGCTCGCATTAACGAAGGAATACACGCTCGAAAACATTGCACATATGGTGAAGACAACTTACTTGGACGACCGGAAGGCAGGCCTTTCTTCCGAGACACAGGCTAGGTTTTCTACGCTACAACTTCGACTGCCTCACAATTTCAAACGCTCGAATACTCTGGAAGAAACATCTAGGGTTGGGAGTTGGGACAATATATTGGACTTAAGATGTTAAAACAGGCTAACATTCCTTGGGGTTTGGACGCATGATGTTCTCCCGGCCGGCCCACTACGGCCAAATCAACACCCCTCATTCCCCTTTAATTTTCTATTTTTTTTGTATTTGTCTTCATATTTTAATAAATATAATAAAATTTAAACTAAAAAAAAGTAGCGGCTTTTCTAAGCCATGTTCCAGCCAATAATATTTTGGAAATTATTTTTGACTCAACCATATTTTCACAATTATTTATTTAATTCATATTAATTCAGGAAAAAACTTCATGTGGAGTATGTAAAATACGTGCCTTGAATAACATAATCAAAATATATTGACCGCTTATAGTTAAAAAATTAATATTGCTTCACAAAATCACCCACTTAGACACATACATAGATATATGTGTGGGAGTGTGTATTGCGAAGTTTATTAATACGTTTTAGGATTTTCACATTCTCAAATAATGCCAATTTTGAAATGTAATCCCCGTATTATCAAGATTATAAATTTCATCTCTCAATTGTTTAAATTGTTGTAAATGTGATCCTTCAAGAAGTGAAATGTATAATGTGGGTGAGGACTACATTTACACCAGTTCGGACAATTGAGAGATTACATTTATAAATTTGAGAACACAGGATTACATTTCAATATCAGTATTATTTGAGAGACCAAAAGTGTGATTTTCCCTTTATTATTATTATTTGTTTTTTACTCCCTCCGTCCCAATTTGATAGTCTCATTTCTTTTGGGCACAAGTTTTAATAAAGTGGTTGAAAAGGTAAAAGTTGTGGTTGAGATTTGAGTATAATAAAGTGAAATGATATAGACCACATCTTTCTTTCCAAAAAGGGAAACAGGACTATCATTTTGGGACATTTCAAAAAAGAAATACAGGACTATCATTTTGGGACGGAGGGAGTAGTTTTTAAAAACTATTTTACATGGGTTACTTTCAACTAATAGTATAGTATTAAATGTCCTACGAATGTGGTGACCCGTGATTTTTTTCAGGTCATAGTGACAATAAACGTTTTCAACGTAATATAAACCGATGAATTTTGCAAAACGCCCGGTTTCAAGAATCTCTTTGGAACAGTATTACATGAACTTTGGTGGATGTAACTAATGGTAAATTTATGAAGATGATTATGGCCTTACTATTTTTAACTCCTATTATTCAAATAAGTGTACTTGAGATTATTTCGTTCATTGGTGTTATGTAATAATAATGTAGTATTGGAGTCGAACGCTCGGCCGTTAGTTTCAATTGTACGCTCCCATCAGACACCTATTACGAGGCCACTTCTCATTCAAAAGAAGTCGAATAGCATGCCATCTACGCCAATTTCATTTAACCACACAAATAATGTTTTGGACAAACCTGCTACTATTTTGATTAGTTATTTCGGGAAAGAATCAAATATCGACGATGTAGGTGTAGACAATACATGTTTGGATTATGAAGATAGACAGTATTACAAAGGAATAGTCTATTGGTTGGTTGTCTATAAATCATCATTTCAGGTTATTGAAAAAAGACTATCTAATCATTCACTTATTTTTAAGTAATAGGTTCTTTGAAAAGTTTTAAAATCAATATCATGTATAATATTTAAAAGTTACAATTCCAACCATGGGCAGTTGTATGTTGTCGTGTTAAGAGTTAAAAATCGTGCAGGTCTCCAAATCCCCATACAAAACGAGGATGATTGTCCACATTATATTATAACAACATTACATATTACCATAAAATTACATATTACACTTTCTTTTCCTTTTTTAAATCATTATCATGTATGATATCTAACTTATACAACGAACCAAATTTAAATTATCACAGTAATTATATCGCTTGAACAAACTATGCACCGTGCATCGCACGGGTACCATACTAGTTTAGTCTAATGGGAGCATTGACAGCTGGTACTAGTGACTTTGTCACTCCTTTAGTATCAGCAAAAGCGTCTGGCAATTGATTCGCTAAATCTTGTAAATGTATTATCTTTTGGACTTCAATTTCATACTCTTTAGTACGAGGATCAAGATGTAATAATGATGGTATAGTCCAACATAATTTTTCCTCCGGCTGCTTTCTTTCTCCCCATAATGTTGGGAAATTTGATTCATTAAAATGACAATCAACAAATCTAGCTGTAAATAAATCCCTCGTTGATGGCTCTAAATATCTTATTATGGAAGGAGATTCATAGCCAACATATATTCCCGACTTTCTTTGGGGTCCCATCTTAGTACGTTGTGGTGGAGCAATAGGTACATATACGGCACATCCAAATGTTCTTAGATGGGAAATATTTGGTTCATTACCCAAAACCATTTGTAGGGGAGACGATTCACAATAACTTGTTGGCCTGATGTGAATTAGTGTTGCTGCATGTAAAATTGCATGCCCCCAAGCTGAAATAGGGAGTTTACATCTCATAAGTAATGGTCTTGCAATAAGCTGGAGTCGTTTAATTAGTGACTCCGCTAGACCATTTTGAGTATGAACATGTGCTACAGGATGTTCTACTCTTATCCCGATGGACATACAATAATCATTAAAAGCTTGGGAGGTGAACTCACCGACATTATCAAGGCGAATAGTTTTAATTGGATAATCAGGAAAATGCGCTCTCAATCTAATTAATTGAGCTAGTAATCTCGCAAACACCAGGTTGCGAGTCGATAATAAGCACACATGTGACCACCTAGTCGATGCATCGATTAAAACCATGAAATACCTAAATGGTCAACATGATGGGTCAATTGGCCCACATACATCACCTTGAATACGTTCTAAAAAGGAAAGTGATTCCGTTCTAATTTTAACCGGTGAGGGTCTATTAATTAATTTTCCTTGAGAGCAAGCAACACAAGATAACTCATTAGTTTGAAGAATCTTCTGATTCTTGAGTGGATGTCCACATGAGTTATTAATAATTCTTCGCATCATTATTGATCTGTGATAGCCTAATCGGTCATGCCAAATAATAAACTTATCATGATCCATAAACTTCTGGTTTATGGTCATATACGATTCAATTGTACTAATTTTGGTGTAGTACAATCCAGATGAAAATGCGGGTAATTTTTTCAACACCCTTTTAATACCCGAAGTTTTATCGGTTATGTAGAGATATTCAATATCTCCTTCTTTGGTTGTTTCAATATGATATTCATTTCGGCGGATATCCTTAAAACTTAGTAAATTCCTTTTTGATTTGGGGGAATATAATGCGTCATCAATTCGAAATTTTGCACCTCCAGGCAACATTAGATTGGCTCTTCCGGAGTCATCTATTAATTTATTAGCACCAATAATGGTGTTAACATTTGCCTTTTGCATTTCCAACTCAGAAAAATATTGAATATTTCTAAGTATTGTATGCGTAGTAGCACTATCAGCAAGGCACAACTCTTCACCATTCATAGTAATTTGGATAACATTTGTGTCCATTTTCACTATAAATTAGAATTATCTGGATTGATGCGGCTTAATAGGAGGTGGGCCGAGCAGTGGTAAAGATGCGGCGATGAAAAACCGATCGATGGGGAGACGTGCGACACCGAGACGGAGAAGGCAGAGAGATATCGAGGAGGCTCAACGAAACTTCTGGTTTGCCTTGGGAATTGATCGACGAAAATCGATCGAGAAGAAGGAGCGGGCGAGCGTTTAGAATAAGGATGCTGTTTTGTGATCCTATTTTTGTGGGAGCGGGCGAGCGTTTAGAATGAGGAGCGGATAGTTAGTAAGAGCGTGCTGATAACGTATTAGAATATCAATTGTATATTAAAACTAGGGGATAGAAGGGATATATATAGATTATAGGGAGATACATGGGTCTAGTCATGAGTTTGGGCTAAGAGGGAGTAGTGTATATTTATACATTACATAACAATATTTTTTTTCTTACAATACATTTTGTATATATAGATAATAGATGTACTAACTATAATGTATAAATGAAAGCTCATAATAGATTTTAATAGTCTTGTATATATAGATAATAGATGTACTAACATTTAATGTATAAATGAAAGCTCATAAATTACCCAACGGGCAGTTATTGTTATACTCCCTTCGTCCCAATTTGATTTGCAAAATTTTCTATATGGTTGTCCCAATATCGTTTTACACTTCTATTTTAGGTATGTAAATAAGAATAAAGTGACAAATTTATCCTTACTTTTACTTTTTTTCCATTAACTTAATTTGAAATTCAATTAGGGATCGAGGGAGTAAGTAAAACCATCTCTACCTGTTACTAGTAAACATCAGATCAAATGATCAATTGTTTCCTGTTGTTCAATTCACATGTTTTCAAAATGTATCAAGTTTTTGCCAACATGTAGTAAGGATTTCTGACCAGTCATCATTCCGTCGGTCGGAAGTACGCAATGGAAGCGAACAAAAGATTGACAGAGAAAGCGGAAGATGAGGAGATGTGGAGTTGGGGGGCAGGCATAGAGGGTCAGCTGGGAACGGGGAAGCACTTAGACGAGCACCACCCTCAGTTGCTCCGTTCGCTCTCCTCGCTTGCGGCGGTGCTTATGTCATCGCTCTTACCGCAGGTCTCATTCATCCTATCCACGTTCATGGAACTGTTTAGATATTGCCCAATTACTTGTTTTCCCCCACCTTTATCTGTTTTCTTGGTTACCCAAAAGTACAATTCTGAGCTCAAAACTACTGAGTTGGATAGAATAGCAATCGTCTAAAAAATTGAAACCCTAACACAAATTTTGAAAAGTGAACAGAATATAGTTCAAGTTTGAGATCCCGCTGTAAGTTTTAAAACGACCCGTGTAGCTGAATGATTGACAGAATCCGCTGAATCACTAGAAAAGATATCTAAAGCATCTATAGTAAAAACTAAAAAGATAAAGAAAACATATGGCTAAAAAGCTGAAGTTGTCATCTTAATCAGCTTAAGTCATTTCAGCCAAAATATACCTTCAACCTTATTATTATTATTATTATTTCATTATTGACTACTTCAAACCTTAAT